ATATATATATATAGTAAAAAAAATATATATATTTAAAAAAAGTTTATACGCAGTCGTATTTATTGAATTCTAACCATGTTTTAACGTATAACAAGAAAATGACATTCAAAGATTATATATATATATATATATATATATATATATATATATATATATATATATATATATATATATATATATATATATATATATATTGCTTCACCAATATGGAATCCTTATTATAAAAAAGACATCAATAAAATAGAACAAGTACAACAAAGAGCAACAAGAATAAGATGTTTAAAAGGTATGAAATATGTGGAGTGATTAAAAGAATTTGGATTGACGTTATTAGAAAAATGAAGAGAACGGAGTGATATAGTAGAATATTATAAAATTCAAAATAACATTCATAAAGTAAATTGGAAATACCCTCTAATAAAGAACTTATATCCAAAATTAAGGTTTCATAATAAACTGTTGCACAAACAAAATATTCGTATTTTGGAAGATTGTTTAATTTTTATATATATATATATATATTCGAGCCCTGCGAACAGGCAGTTTTTGTTTCGAACCAAATCTCGAATCAAAGCAGGTCTTGATTCGCGATTCAAATCACCTTTCTAATCAACATTTTAAAGTCTAAATTTAAGCATTTTTTTATTTAATAATATATATTTCTATATATATATATTATATATATAGTTAACTTTTTTAATAACAGTTTAAAAGAGTATTTAAGGATAAGTAACGTTATTTTGATAGGGCCAAAGCACAGAATATCTAAAATACCCCCAACAAAAACGAAATAAGTAAGGATTCAACTTTTGAAAATTTTCGAATTGTATCTCAAATCATATTTTTGATTCAATTCAATTCGAAATTTTGAAGTTTCGCAGGGCCCTTCAATTCGATTTGAAATTTTGAAGTTTCGCAGGCCCACATCACTAGTATATATATATATATATATATATATATATATATATATATATATATATATATATATATTATATATATATATATATATACATATATATATATATACTAGTGATGTGCCGGGTACCCGGTTCGGACCCGGAGACCCGGTAATTCGGCAGTTTTACCGGGTACCCGGTATCGGCCATTTTGTTGCAGTATCGGGCACCGGGTATCTTCAAATTGATTTTTTCTTTAGTTAAACTTTAACCATTAAACTTCTTGATATAAGTCTAAGAGTGTTATGTAGTCGATAACTACAAAGTTCTATTAACTTAAAACAATCTCACTTAAAATATTTTTTAATACACTTTTGCAAAAAAATTTATACGGATACAAAAACTGTAACGCTAAATGAAATAATTCGAGAATATGAATAAAAAGAATGGAAAAAAAGTTTTAGAATAGCTTCTTTTTATTCTGTTAGAACACAAGATAATTTTTAGCAATTTAGTTTTGAATGAAAAGCTTATAATGCTTTCGAATGCTGATAGACTTTTCATTCGTATCAAGCAAAAATCATAAAAGTAGAGATATAAGGTAAATATTATACACATTTTTCATATTTTAATTTCGAGCGTATTATTAAAAAAATTATCGTTTTATATAAAATAAACGAAAACTTTGATATCAAAACTAGTTTCATTATCTTTATAGAAATTTTATTTGAAAGAAAAATTATGGCAAAAAAAAGTATAGCGTGGAAGTTCTTTGATATAAGCACGACTCCTCATATGAGTATGTGATATAAACTATGTGTTTAATTACGAGAGGAGGAAAATCTTTCAAGTCTTATGGAACTACAGCAATGGTAAAACATTTGCGTTTAAAGCATTCCAAAGAGTTTGAACTTGTGGGAAAAAAAAAAAAGGTTCAATTATTGCCGTTTATTTCTGAAGCCTCAGTTGCTTCTACCACCAATACAGTACAAAGTAATATTATTCAGGCTTTACACAAAAAAAACAACAACAATGGAATATTGATGACCACAGATCTATTCGAATCCATAAAATAATAGGAAAACTTATCACATTGGATATTCAGCCATTTTCTATTGTTGAAGATACGGGGTTTAATGAACTGATTAAAGATGCTTACCCCAATTACAAATTACCATGTAGAACATATTTCAGCCAAAACGTAATCCCTAGCATGTATGATGAACTTTTTAAAGATATAAAAATAAAAATCTCCGCGGCAAACTATTTGTCTCTGAAGACAGATATTTGGACAGCGGATACTGCAAAAATTGCATTTTTAAGCATTACTGGACACTGGATAGATCTAACTAAAATTTCCCAAGAAACTGCTGTTCTTCGAGTAATTCATTTTCATATGGTTTTCATAGGTGTTCATATAAAAGAGTATTTACAAAAAGGTTTAGAAACTTTTGAAATCCTGTTAAGCAAAATTCATCTTATTGTTACCGATAATGCAAGCAATATGTCATCAATTCCATGCTTTATCCATACTTTGCAGCTATGTATTCATGACTCTATACTTAGCCAAAAAACCATCAAGGAAATTTTAACTTTATGCAGAGGAATAACGACACATTTTAATCATTCACCAATGTGAATGATTAAAATGTGTGCAATGCATGTGTGCAAAGCATGTGCAAAATTAAAATCAATTCAGCAGCAGTTAAGTACTGTACCTCACAAAATGAAACAAGATGTTGCAACTCGCTGGAACAGTTCATTTGAAATGCTACAAAGAACGTTTGAACAAAAAGTTCCTTTGGCCACCTATGCAGCAGAATATGATGAAATTAAACTTCCTATTAATTATCAATGGGGAATAGTCGACAAACTTGTTCATATTCTTGCTCCATTTGAAAACTTAACAAAAAAATGTGGTAGGAGGGACAAAACTTGCGAACAAATTATACCATCTGTTCTTGCATTAAAAGTTTTATTACATCAAGTGATATATACGCTGGGATTATGACGATGATTGATGAACTAATAAAATCTGTTACTAAAAGACTTGATAAATTTTTGCTTAATAAAAGGTTATGTGTATCAACATTTTTGGATCCACGATATAAATTACTTTATCAACATGCAGATGAAAATGTTATTAAGGAGTGGGTTGAAGAAGCATGGAAAGAAATGCAAGGAGCGCAAGATGTTGTTGACTCTGACTCCGACAATGCTCCAATAGTAAAAGCTCCAGCATCTAATGGATTCATTAGCATTGATGATTGTTTTAAAGATGTAGCTTCTATGAGAACCGGAAGAAAGCAGAGTAAAAGACGTTTCGAGGCAGAAAGAAAATTAGTAGATATTGAAGTTGTTACCACTGACATAATTAAGAAGCAAACAATATTAAGGTCTGCAATTACTCAAGAAATAGACAACTATTTATCTCTGCCGCTTTTAGAAAATAAAAGTTCTCCATTTTTGTGGTGGAGTAAATGTGGAATGCAATTTGAAAAACTAAAAAAGATGGCATTAAAATATCTTACAGCACCTATATCATCAATAGAAAGTGAAAGGTTATTTAGTGCTGGTGGGGACATATACGAAGCAACTAGGAGCAGACTAAAGCAGATAACGGAGAATACCTAATGTTTGTGCATTACAATCTAAAGTTAATAAAACAATTAAAATAAGATACAGTAAATAAGTGTTGTTTAAGTTCTTTTTATTTGTTTAAATTTGTTTTATTTTAATCACTCTATAGTCGTAAAGGTATACCGTTTTTGCAATTCTTTATATTTCTTTATCTTTTGCTTTCCATAATATAACTTTCAATGGCGGAACTTAAAATTTTGCCCCTTTCCCCACAAAATATTATTTAGGCCCGCTCCACCAGGAAAGAAAAATAATTTTAAACTAAATATAGTTATTAAAAAACTGTTGCACAACTTTTAAAAAATGTTAGGCCCTACAACACAGGCCCCTTACCCTGCATTGCGGGGTTTTGCTAAATAGTACGTCGGCCACATAACTTTTTGTTAGTTAGCGTAAAAAGCGTATTTTGTGTGAATAGTTCAGCCCAGGAGATTTCACAAATTTTTATTCCAACTTTTAAAAAATGGACTCGGTGCCGAGTACCCGGACCCGGTTTTTTCAGCCGGGTACCAGGAATCGGAGACTCGGCATAAACTGGTTCCGGCACATCACTAATATATACATATATATGCATATATATATATATACATATATATATATATATATATATATATATATATATATATATATATATATATATATATATATATATATATATATATATAAATTAAACAATCGGTTATGTATTTCATTGATTTTTTTTTCTTTTGTTTACTCGATGGTTTTGATTTTCATAAATACTTTCATATGGCTTCAAGTTGGCTCAGGGCCTTGAGACAAAATTAAGTTGTGAAGCTCCAAAATCAAAATGTTTTTTATACAATCACATTGTAAATATGATTGTAAAGACTTTGAAATATAGCATGTATTTAGGGTAGTCCCTAAATCATTGAGGTTAAAATGTATTAGTCGATTTTAGTCGACTTGAGAGAATATATATTATTTGATTTAGTCGACAATCAAATTATTTAATAGTCGTAACAACGCTATCAAAAATGCACTGAAAGTAAAAAGGAAATTTAAAAAAAGAAAATCTTAAAGGGGGGGGGGGGGGGAGTGGTTTTGTGGTGACTCATACAGAACTTGTTACAATTTAGCTAAAATCTCTTGTTTCATCAACCAAAACTCATTCTTGCTTTACTCGTCATTCAGCAAAATCCTTTTACTGTATCTGTCTCTGCATGCTCTAAAAACTTTTATTTGTCTAGTTTTTTTCCATCTCTTTAACCCTTTGGAACTCTCTCCCATCTTCATGTTTCACTTACTCATACAACTCACAACTTTTGATGTCTACTGTCAACTGTTGTTTTTTAATACAATTTTAACTTCTGACATTAGGCTGGGTACCTACCCAACATGATGTGTTATGTGCATGAAAAATTATTTCCTTGCACTTTAACTCTTATCTTTGTTTTCTAATAATTGGTTTTTATTTATTTTAAAGTTTTATTATTTTGAACTTCAAAACATAAATTTTTTAAAATTAAATTTAATGATATAGTATGTCATTTTTACTTTGCATAAACAAAAATAGCAAGAAACATCTATCGCATTTAAGTTAATAAATCGCTTTAATAAGTATTATGTGATTCGCAATAACAATAAAAAAAAAAGTCTTTATTTGTTACATATTTGTGAGCATCTTAAAGATAAAAAAAGTTTGTAATTGAAGATTCTTTTTAATTTTTGACAAAAAAAAAAGTTATTTTTAAATAAACTTGATAAGTTCAAATGACCACTATAAAAGTTTCATTAAATACCATATTAAAGAAACTATGAAAAAAGAAACAACAAAGAACAATAGAGTTTCAATATTTTGTAAAAAGTTATTAAAGTTTTTAGCTTTATATTTTTAATTGAAAACTTTTTAAAGGTAAAATATAAAATTTAACCTACGCAAACTATTTATTTTTAAGCCAAAAAAAATTTTAATGCAATATTTGTATTTTACATACTAAGTTAAAAAATTTAGTATGTAAAATTATTTAATTAAAGCAAAATGATTTATTGTATGTAAAATGATTTAATTAGCAAAAATAATAGATAGATTCATTTTTAATAACTTTTTTTATAATTTTAACAGTTAAAAATTTTTTTTTGTTTATATTTGAAATATGTAACACTAAAACAATTTTAAAAGTATCAAGTTTTAATTATAAAAACCTTTTCTTATAATTACTCGCTCTCTAGTTTGGTGATTTTTCAGTGTGGTTTTTTAAACTTTTTTTGAAACAATACAGAAACATATTTTACCAAGAAGTAGAGTAACAAATAATTTTTTATATATAAAAATAGGAAGAAACGTAAAACTAAAAAAATATTTAATGATAAAATAATCAATCATTTTTATAAAAAAAGGATCAAAATATATACTAAAATACAGTTTAAAAAATTGGAACGTCAAATGCAAAATTTTTTCTAAATTTTTCTAGAAATCGTTACGATGCTTGAATTAGCAAATATCAGAAAAAACAACAACAGAAAAAACATTTTTTTTACAATTGTTTCTATGATGTATTTATGATATGATACGAAACATTACACTGTAATTAACAAAATTATTACTATAATAATTAATGCTATTATAATTTGAATAATTAAATAGCTTAATTAATTATCTTAATCATTTTATCTAAATATTAAAACAAAAATGCTGTTTGCCCACAAAACACTATCAGCATGGGCAGCTCGCATCGTCACATTTGTTTTAAACAGGCATTTCACTGCTCACGCAATTATTACTCCTGCAAGGGCCTGTATATACACAATTTATTTAAAACACAATAATTTATTTAAAACAACGTTTTTTAACTTCTGACATTATGCTGGGTATCTACCCAGCATGATGTTATGAATAAGCAAATAAAAATTTATGTTTTATAATTTAATATAAGTTTATGTGAATTGAACAAAGTAAAAAAAGCAAAAGATGCATTACTCATTTTTTTTTTTTAATGTTTTTTTTTTTTTTTTATTGTTTAGGATATCATTGATTCTGATGCCTTACTAGATTCAGAAGATCTTGAACGTCCAAATATGACTACCATAAAAGGTTTTAAGTTATTTTATTACTTGATTATTTTTAATAACTACTGTTAAGTTGTTTAATTTTACTGCATTTTTTCAAACAAAATTTTTTTTAACACTGCAACAAACAAATTTCATATCTCATAAAAGTTGCTTAATTAACTTTATCTTATAGTAAGACCAGGGCCGGATTTATCAATAGGCTGACTAGGCCGCGTCTTAGGGCCCCACAATTATAGGGGCCCCAATATGTCAAAAAATTTCAGAATTTTTTAAAATTGTTGTAAAAAATAACTAAAAATGGAAATAAAAATATACTAATTATATTTATTTCATGCGTTACATAGTTGTCTTTTTCACACATTCTCAGTCCCAATATAAAATGTCATAAAAACAGAAAGTTTTAGTGATAAAAAGGGACCCAAAACATAACCCGTCCCTGAGTAAGACCATTAAAGTGTAATAGAAATTAGATAGTTATGTGTTTTTATTTATTTATTATTTCTTTTACCACATTTTTTGTATATTTTGCTTAAAGAGTATAGTAATATAAAATAAGTTCATATAAGTTTGTATAGACCTTTTTAAAATAATTCTTAAAAGTAAAATACATAAAAACTCAAATTAATAGTGTGTTTTGTTTTCTCTAATAAAAACTTGCAATATAAGTAATTTTTTGATGTAGTTTTTATAACTATATTTACAAAATTTATATATTTAAAATTTTTTAATATTTAATTACTAAAAAAAGACTACTATATAACATGACCAAGTCTTCTAATTTTGTTAGCAAAGAAGATTCTTACTATATTTTATTAGCAAAGGAGGCCATGATTCTTACTAAATTTTGTTAGCAAGGGAGGCCATGATTTTTACTAAATTTAGTTCAAACCAACATTTTTTTTAAATGTTGATTGAACCAACACCACTCAAAAAAAATTCACTATATTTTGTTCAAATCAACATTTCTTAAATCACATTATTGCCATATTAAAATATTTTTACAGTAAAAATAAGTTACTCTTAATAAACACCTAATAACAAATTAAAATATAACAAAGTAAAATGTAACAATAAAGTAAAATATAATGACAAAATAAAATACAATGATAAATTAAAATATAAAGATAAAAGAAAAAAATTGTCTAAAAAAAGCCTAAAAATGCAATATAATAAACTTCTTTTATAAAAAAACGAAGAACATGTTATTGATAAAGTTTATCTCTAGTGAAATAGATAAATATCCTTTAGTATACTTTATGTAACAAACTATTTTCAAAAAATTTAAAAAAGAAAAAATTAATGTAGTAAAAAGTCAATGTGATTTTATGGTAATTATGTTTTGAAATAGACATTAAAGTATATATTAAACAGCAAGGTGTCAATTGATGTCTGAAAATCAATACCTGCATTTTTTTTCTCATATTTTTTTTCTTCAAATTTTAGAATTTCATGCAGAGGAATATTTTTGATGATAAACCAAAATCGTAATATGCATCCATCATAGTATATCCATCATAGTATATTCAGTCTTTTCTACAGCATGCTCTGTGTTTAGTTTTTTCACAAAGCCAATTGTAACTAGCTGTGCTATAAAGCTTAAACTAATTCTAACTAGCTGTTAAGCCCCATAGGCTGCAGAGCTCTCTTTGATATTTTAAAGACTAACATTTTTGTGGAGCCGACTGTTTTTTTTTTACAGCTCGGCTCCGGCTCCTAAGAAATATCTCGGCTCCTAAACTTTATAAACAAAAATCGCAAGTTTTGGAAAATTTTTTTGGATCACAATTGCTAAACCAAAACTATACCAATTACAGCAATTAAATTTTTTTTAACTCTTGTGAATACAAAGTTATTATATTGTTATCACTACTCTACTACTGGATATTATATTTGAAAAGAAAAATATTTTGAGTAAATAAACACTTTTTTCTATATATTATTTACCCAAAACTAGAGTTTTTAGTTTAAATTTTATTTTTAATTCTACCCAGAGGGTACGCTACCTAAAAAAGACGCCCAAAATATTCAAAAGGCATCAAAAATGTTCAAAAGATGTTTAAAAGACGTCTATCTTAAGTCCTCACTGAGTAAAAAAGACCTAAAAAAGACGTATTTTGAACGTTCAAAAGACCTCTTTTGTATGTCCCGTGCCCACTGGGTAAAACATGCGATTGTTAAATTCAAAACAATAAAAAATTCAAAAAAAAATGAAAACTAGTTCAACTAATGCAAAAACTATAAAAAATATTTTTAATCTAAGGAACTTGAAGATAATAAAAGTTTTATTTTGATATTTTTCATTATTTCAAATAAATAAGCAAACATTTTCGCTAATCGAGGACATCAACTTCTGCAGTGTCTTTAACAATTTTTTTTCCTACTAATGTCCACTCTCTAATCAAATCTTTAGCTGTATTTATTTTTCTGTCTCCGGCTCCACCAAAAAACAGTGGCTCCGCCTTGGCTCCACAAGCCTGCAGAAAACCAGCTTAGCGCTTTCATTTATTAATTTATATTGCTGTCCTTGCCACTAAATAATTCAATTTAAATGATTAAAAGTATAGCTAATATATAATATATAAATTTTATTTTTGTAGATTGTGGAACAAATAATGCTGGTAAAAGAAAAGCTTGCAAAGGATGGTAAATAGAAGTTATATATGCTTAAAGCAAACTTTAACTGCTTAGTTTAAAAAGCAATTGATTGCATTGCATTATTTTTTCATAAGTGTTTTAAGCTGAATGTAAAGCATTTCACTTGTTTTATTACAACTTTTTCAGCACTTGTGGACTTGCAGAAGAATTAGAAAAAGAAAATGCTCCTGTTAAACCAAAGTCAGCTTGTGGTAGTGTAAGTAAATTTTGTAGTAATAAATTATTCATGTTTTTAAATATGTTGCAATTTAAAATTTTTTTTCTGAAGCATCAGATAGATTATGATATAATGCAATTCATAAATATTTTTTTGAGGCATCAGCTAAACATTTTTTAAATTTCCGATGAAAAATTTTTGTTTTAGATCAAAAGAATATTTAAGAGTTTTTATTTATTTTTCTTATTTAATTTTATTTTAATTATTTTAAAATTATTGTAGTGTTATTTGGGAGATGCATTTCGATGTGCCAGTTGTCCCTACCTTGGTATGCCACCATTTAAACCAGGTGATCAAATTACGCTTTCTGAGCGACAACTAAAACCAGATGTAGACTCAATAGCAACATAATAGACATTATGAAAATAACTTTAGTGTAGAAAAATGTAAGACGTATTTTTTTCATGATACTCGAGCTATATAAAATCAATTCTTTTCTTCATTTTTTGTTGTATAATTTTGCATCATAAAAGTTTTGTATATATAAATGGTGTACAAGAAAAATGTAGTTGTTTTTCATGATACTTGAATAAAATCACTTCTTGGCTTTGTTGCATAATTTTGTAATATTTAAATTTTAAATTTGTTATATTTTGTTATTACTAATATTATTTATTATATTGTTTAAAAGAAAAAAAAAGAAATTTACTAATACCAATGTAAATATTTGTGTAGTAAGAAACAAACTAGTTTCCCCCAAGATTTTTTTATGGCAATCATGATGATGATGTTCATGATCATGATGATGATCATGATGATGATGATCATGATGATGATCATGATGACAATGATCATGATCATGATGATGATCATGATGATGATCATGATCATGATGATGATCATGATGATGATCATCATGATGATGATCATCATGATGATCATCATCATGATGATCATTATCATGATCTTTATGATGATCATCATCATTATGATCTTCATGATGATCATGATGATCATGATCATCATCATCATCATCATGATCATCATGATGATGATTATCATCATGATGATGATGATGATTATCATCATCATTATCATTATCATGATCTTCATGATGATGATCATCATCATGATCTTCATGATGATCATGATGATCATGATCATCATCATGATCATTGTCATCATGATCATCATCATCATGATTATCATCATGATCATCATGATTATCATGATGATGATGATGATGATGATGATGATGATGATGATGATGATGATGATGATGATGATGATGATGATGATGATGATGATGATGATGATAGTAATAATGATCATCATCATGATGATAATCATGATGATGATGTTGATTGATCATAATCATGATCATGATTGTGATTATGATGAATCAAGATATAATATAGTTGTGTATAATATAAATTTTCTTCTCCTTTTTTTTTTATAGATAATAAATATATAAATATTCTAATTTGTAGTGTTTAAATGGATGTTGGAGAACTTCTCAAATACCAAGTAGTTTTTAGTTTTTTAATGTGATATAAGTTTCTTTATATAAATCATACAAGTAGATAAATAACATTTGTTGAAATAAATATTGTTTTTAATTTTATTATTTAGCCTCAAAAGGGGGCCAAGAGACGTGTTCCTGATCAGTTTGAAAGGAGACCTAAAGCTAAGAGAATCTCAAACAATGAGGAAGAACCTGAAACATACCAATTTAAAAAAATTTTGAAAAAAGGAAATTCAAATGAACCAAAAAAAGTATCTACGCCTGCTCCTTCTACTCAAGCAAACAAAGATGTATCAACAGTTAAACCTGTAAAAGATTCACCTGCAATTAAATCTGTGAAAGTTGGCATGACAGATGATGAGAAAGAAAAACTTTTAAGTATGGTGGAAAATGATGATGAGGTATATTCTTCTTAGATTATTTTAAATTATATTATTTCAAATAAAAAATAATAGTATATAATTATAATTTTTATATTTATAAATATTTTAATTTATTTTTATACTATTTTTAAAAAAATTTCAAAATCATTAAAGATATTCTTTAAAAATAAACTTTGTAAAAGCTTTATATGCAAATAATAAATATTAAAAAAATAGATTTAATGTAACAAATAGGTTTGTGTTTAGGGAGAAGCTATTAATGAATCAACAATTAAAAAATATATATTGACTTTTGAGAAAAAAGTAACTAAAAATCAAGAAATGAGAATCAAATTTCCAGACCAACCACCAAAGTAAGTTATTATAGATACAGTTTTTGTTACATAAAAGCACAGATTTTTTAGACTTTCTTACTAACAGCCTAAGTTTGAGCTCTGGTGAATGACACTAATTAAAAAGGTTGGCTTAGGTTAAGGCTCAGGGCAAAACTGTTTTGGAATTTATATGTATAATATGCATTGAACTTGAAAAACTAAACTAAAAATGTTCTTTTAACATATGGAAAAGTTCATTTTTGTAAAACAATAGTTTTATAAAGCTTTAAATAGTCTAAATCTATTTTGTTTAAAAAGCCTAATTTTGTATAAATAATAATTTAGTTAAAAGTGAATATTCTCTGCTGTTTTATAACAGTTAGAGACCCACTCAATTGGAATTTTTTCACTATCATATAAAGGGGAAAAAATCATATAAAATTTTTGAGATAAAAAATCTATACTAAATATAATTCTAATGGCTTTGCCTTTATTTGTCTGTATTTGTAAGTAATTTTTAAATTTAATTAAATTATAATTAGTGATGTACCGATTAATCTGCGTCAGCTTAATTGGCCACTTTTTGCACAATCAGAATCGACATCGGCATCTGCCTTTTTTTATTAATTTACCGATTTTCTAACAGATGACTTTTTAATATTTTTATCCTGCCTTATGATAATAATTAAATGATAAATAAACTAAAATTTATGCATTACTTTGAATTTTTTTGAGAAATTGTTTATTTTGACTTTGTTTACAGGCAAATTTGTTTATTCTTAAGATGATATTTATAAGGTTTAATTTAACAGCTGGATGTGCTTATACTTTTATTACCATAATGTTGTTTTTATAATAATTTTATTTTATGTTGCTCTATTGTTATACTCAAAAGTAACCTATAGTAAAAAAAAACTAAAAAATGTATTTTTTTTTAACTGAGTTTTTCTAATATCTTTTAAAATAATAGTTTTGCTCTGATTTGGGTCCAAGTATTTGTTTACCAGTACTGATACCATGAAAAAGTTTACACAATTTAAATTTGTATGGTTTTATATTTTCAAAATTTTAATAGTTAGTTAATTCATCAGCATCAGTATCGGCCTTTTCCCATTCATCAACATCGGCTACAAATGTGCTATCGGTACGTCACTAATAATCATTTAATTGTCAGTCATCATTTGTTTCTTTAACTATTTAGCGAATGTACTAAAGTATTTAAGAACATACTATTTATAAATAACTTACTATTTATAATAATCACACTACAATCTACACAACCACAACCTTCGTCTGGATAAACAGAATGTGTGGAATCATGCTGAACAATTCCATTATTATACAAGCTGCATTGTAAATGATTGAAATTCTTTACCGTCCGAAATTGTAAACGCATTATCAAAAATTACTTTTAAGAACTTTCTGACCATAAAATCAACAACATAAATAGTCAACCAGATACACTGAGTATCTTCAGCATAGAAGTACCTGGTGCCACACTTTTTCATTAATTTCATGACAAAAGCAGTTTTATTTTTTCAAAAGTTTAATTTTTAAAAACATTGTGACATTTTGTAGTTAAAGAAATTAAGTATTGAATATTGAAATTATAATATCTAAAGAATTTATTTACTATTTATAAATTCCTTAAAATGTTTTATGAACATACTAATGTATTTACTAGTTGTTGCTGTTTTTTTTTTTATAAAATTGCAGATTTATGGAATCTGAGATGGAGCTGCATGATGAAATTCAAAAACTGCATGTGTTAGCTACTGTTCCAGAATACTACGAAACATTCATTAAGCTTAATGCTGTTTCTACTGTACTTGGTTTATTAAATCATCCAAACACAGGTTGGTTTTGTTTTTTTGTTTAATATTTTCAATGTCTTCACGAAAATTTGATATTATTTTGCTTATTTTTAAATTTTTTAAATGTAATTCTTTTTAAAACATTTTTTAGATATTGCAATAGCAGTTGTTCATTTATTGCAAGAACTGACTGACACTGACACACTGCAGGACAGTGAAGAAGAGGCCATGTTTCTTGTTGATGCCTTGGTAAGAAATTGTTTGGATTTTTATCTTTTTTTTTTTTTCATAGCCCTTCTTTTTTTCTTTTTTTTTTTTGCATAGCCTCTTCTTCACTGCAGGACAGTGAAGAAGAAGCTATGTTTCTTGTTGATGATGATTTTGTGTTTAATATAATTATCATTATCATAATTGATATTATTAATATAAGTATCACTCAAGTTGAGCAAGTGATATTAATAATATCATTATGATAACTATTAAAACAAAATTTTTTTACTGCCGACAGGTATTTGCAACTTAAACATTCAATCAAAACAAAATAAAAAAGTTGAAAGATTTAAAAGGAAAAAAATCCACATTTACTGAAGTGCTTAAATTGTTTAAAAACTTAAATTTAGTTGAGAGTCATGTTTCACAAAAAAAATTTGCAACACTGTTTATAAATTTTTTTCAAAATCATTATCAACATACAACCAAAAAATGTTTGGTTGTATGTTTAAACAATTTAATCACTTCAGTAAATGTGGATTTTTTTCCTTTTAAATCTTTCAACTTTTTTATTTTGTTTTGATCGAATGTTTAAATTGCAAATACCTGTCGGCAGTAAATAAATTTTGTTTTAATAGTTATCATAATGATATTATTAATATCACTTGCTCAACTTGAGTGATACTTATATTAATAATATCAATTATGATAATGATAATTAAATTAAACACAACTACGTTTTTTGCTTAAATGACTAATTATGCTCAAAATTTCAAAGTTTTTTCCTGCATCTATTGCAGAAGTGAAATTTGAGATATTATTAATGTGTGAACAATAATATTTTGTATTGAATTGGTTTAAAGTTTTACTTTTCATAGATATGACATTAACCAGTTATATTGCTGAAAGTTATTCTCCTTTTTAAAGGATAATTACCAGGTCTTTCCAAATTAAATGTAATTTTGCATGAAAAATTTTGCAACTTATTTTTAATCTAATACAGATCTGGAAACTAAGTACAATAATAAAAGTTAATATAACAATAAATATATACAGTAATAAAAGTTTGGATCTGTTTTAAAAATAACCCATATGGGTTGGATTTTATTCAAAAAACCAAACCCACATTAAAAAATAGTTCTGTTTGGTTTTGCAAAAAAAACTTTTTTTGAACTTTTTCTATTGATATTAAATCTTTATGAAGTTATTGGAATCACAGCATGAATCAAATAATTTCATGAATGATTTACTTTTTAAGGAACCTTCAACAAAGTTTGAATCTTCAAAAAAAATTTCCTTAAATATTTTTCAAATAGTATGACATATAATAGTATCAAAGAGTATGTCTATGAATATTACTATTTTGTTTATGAAACAAGCACTCTACCACCCCACTACCAGCCCACCACTGGGATTAAATAAATAGGTTGTTAGTTACTTGCGTTTAAATAAGTTTTGAAATAAATTAATATAATAGTTACTACTTTTTAATAGTTGGAAGGACAAGTAACAAATGTCTTACTACAAAATCTTCAAAGATTAGATGAAAGGCAAAAAGAAGATTTTGATGGTGTTCATCATACCTTAGGTTTTTTCTTTGATTTTTATTCAGTTTTTTATTATTATTTTTTTTTTCTACATGTTTTTGTTTTAATGTTTGTTTACAAGTTTTTCAATATTTCAAGTTTTCAGTAGGTTTATAAGAAACAGAAGCTAACATTTTAAGAAACAGAAGCTAACATTTTAAGAAACAGAAGCTAACATTTTAAGAAACAGAAGCTAACAATTTAAGAAACAGAAGCTAACATTTTAAGAAACAGAAGCTAACATTTTAAGAAACAGAAGCTAACATTTTAAGAAACAGAAGCTAACATTGGATGACAAATTAATCCATTCAATATTTCTATCAAATATAGTAATAGATTTATATGTGAAATAATGCTAAATAATAATGATGATGATTGTATATAAATATTGATCGTAACAAACATAATAAAGTAAAACTTATAAGTTATTATAATATATGGAAAAACTAAGACTATGACAGCTAAGATTAAGGGAAAAGAAATGATAATTTTACAGTAAATAAAAAATGTAGCTTTATAAAGTACATAACTAAAAAAATGTTATGTAATTTGTTCAAACTTTTATTTTCGTTCTTGTAATGGTTCTCCCACAGTCAACCCACAGATATTAATTTTAAAAAAAAAATTTTTATAGGACTAATTATTTATATATGGTTGTACATGATCAGATAAATTAAATCAATGTGTTTATAAATGTAATATAAAGAAACTGTGTTCTTAGTTATTTTTGATGCTAATGTTCTTTGGTGTGTATATATATATATATATATATATACATATATATATATATATATATATATATATATATATATATATATATATATATATATATATATATATATATATATATATATATATATATATACATATATATATATATATATATATATATATATATATATATATATATATATATATATATATATATATATATATGTATATATATATATATATATATATATATATATATATATATATATATATATATATTAGGGTGTCCCTTATATGAGAGAAAGTTTTTTTTTTTTTTTTTTTTGGGGGGGGGGGGTGGAATATATCAAAATGCATACCTCCTATTTCTTTTCAAACTATCTAGGCTTACTTAAAAGCTTCTGTTTCTTAAAATGTTAGCTTCTGTTTCTTAAAATTTATCTACGTACGACAATATTAATGCATGCCGGCAGAACTCTGAAAATATTGAAAATTGCTGTTTTTAACCCTTTCCTTTATGTAGCTTAGGGGTATTCAAAAAAGTAAAATTTTCAAAACATGAATACATGAGTAGCCAAATTTGGAGCAAATATATATAAAAAATACAACTACAAAAAAAAATTCTAAAATATTGACAATTACATTGTGCTCAAGCGACAAAATACCCCAAAAAATGTCCCATAATGTTTCTAAATTATTTGGCTTTGAGTGCAAGGTAAATCTCAATATTTAAAAAAAAAATATTTTTCTAATGTGATCATAATGGTCTATTTTGCACAAATACGCAATAAAAAGTTTTTTTTTTTTTTTTATTTGCATAAATTATTTGAAAATTTTTTCATTTTAAACAACAATTATGAAAAAACCACGATACACAACAATCTATAAAAAATTTGGACCATTATGATCACATAAAAAACTTTTTTACAAAATAATGAGATTTAACTTTTAGGGCATTTTTCGAGGTGTTTTGCTGCTTGAGCCCAAGGTTAATGACAAAAAAATTTTTTTGTAATGGTATTTTTTTTATATTTTCCCTAAATTTGGCTACTTGTGTATTTGCATTTTGAAAATTTTATTTTTTAAACGCCCCTAATGTAGCTAAATCAAGTGAAACATTTATATTTTCTAAAATATTTGTTAAAAGAGTATAAAACTACAGATCAGGCAGGATATTTTCCTTTGAGTGTCTCTTTTTTATAGTCTGGATACAGACTTTTTTTTGGTCTCTATGCTCTTGTACACAGTGTATATTGCGTAGCAAAAATTGCTTTTGTTCCTCTTTTGCAGTAATTAAATCATGAAAATCTTGAATGAGTTTTACTGCTCGTTCAGCTGCATCATTAACTGCTTTTAGAGAATTTTTTATTTTTGCCTCTTTATAGGCATCATCTTCATCACATGTTGAAACAAGTTTCTGAAGGAAGTTCTTCTTAATTTTTAATCGAGAGAATAAATTTGTGCTTTTGACAGACACAAAATTACTTGATAGTTTTTCTGCAACAATTAATAAGGCAATATTATTATTAGTTTAGTGAAAATAGTATAGAAAAAAGTACTATGTATTCCTACCTACCATACAAATAACCAGACATATCTTCTGTTGATGAAGTGTATCTCTTCCCAGAATTAAGCAAATTTTCTTTTTGTATGTTCACTACAGTGTTTTCCTTGGTTTGTTCATTAACATCAAAGAGTGATAAAACTGTAATTTTTTCTGACAAGTACCAAAGATGTTTACAAAACTTGTTCAGGGCTGCTTTAGAGATCGATTTGTCAACAGTTTCGATTCCTTAAGCCTCTTAAAAAAGCACAAATCTTGATTTAGCGCCTTCACCACCAGACTACATCCAAGCCAAGGCTTCACATATATAACTGCAATAAATAAACAAATGTCCTAAAGTGCTTGTATGTCCTTGGCATTAATTTTGATCTGGGATTGCAACAAGCATATCTTTAAATAGTAAATAGCTCTAGCTATCCACCTCGCTTGATGCATTGCTCCAGGAGGTCTGAATTAAAATGTCAACAGTTCTTCAACTGTTGTATTACTAAAATGTTGTTTGATGATATTGGTGTTTGTTTCAATTGTAGCCGGATCAATAGTTTTCCAGTTGTCTCGAAACTTTTTGAACATTGGGATATCAGGGCTACTTGTGACTTGGTGGATTTTTGTTTCAAATACACATTTTAAAACCAGTTGGTAAATGTGATGGTAGCAAGCAAAAAGTAGTAATTCCCTGTCTAGTTTTTGTTCCGAAAGTACACAAGCTCCTTTTAATGTCCCTGTATTAGACGCTGTTGTGTCACAGCACATTATTTGTACCCTGACATCAAGGTTCCAGTCAAAATTTGCATTTAACACAGCTTTAGCTTGATCTTCAGCTTGATGAAAAAATTTTGTAACAGAAAGAAATTTATTGATTTGAAACCATAAGTAAGCAAGTTAAATGTAAAACAAATATAAAAAGTAACTTAAATCATATTTGATAAAACAAATTTTCTTTTTTTTAACATAGTTTGAAAGTTTAAATTATATTTAATTGATTTGAACTTAAAATTTTTTTAAAACAGAAACTAGAAAAATATTTATGTTTTTTTATCCAAAAAAAATTTATTTAACAATTGCAATTAAAACATCACTATTAATTGTTTTTTATAACAATTAATAGTGAAGCAAATTGGGACTCATACTTCTTTAGGTTGTTAAGGGCTCAGAATAGTCGACAAAGTTTGGCATGCTGGTCTTCTCCATAAGCTTGCTTCATATGGTATTTCTGGAAAAGTTTTTGAGATTATCAAATCATTTCTTTCTAACCGGTTTATTAAAGTCATCCTTGAAGGCCAACACTCTTCTTCTCTTCTTTATTTCCAGTAACTTCTGGGGTTCCCCAAGGTTCCATCCTGGGCCCTGTTTTGTTTCTTATCTACATAAACGATCTTCCTGACAACCTTTCATCTAAAGTAGCTCTTTTTGCTGATGACTCAACTTTATACTCCTGTCTTGACAAAAAGTCTTCTCTTTTTGATCGCCTAGAACAAGCAGCTGATCTTGAATTCGATCTCACTTCAGTAATAGATTGGGGTTCACAGTGGCTTGCGAATTTCAACTCTAAAAAAACCCAGTTGATTACTGCAAACAACTACCGTAATATGGTCAACATTCCTATATTAATGAATGGCAATCCTCTTACTGAGTACTCCTCTTTACGTCTTCTTGGATTATCGCATACTACTGACCTTTCATGGAAACCATATATACAATCGATTGCTAAATTAGCTTCTGCTAAGGTTGCTTCTCTTTATCATGCTAGCCATTTCCTTACTTCTGATTCCATTCTCTACCTCTACAAATCTCTTATTCGTCCCTGTATGGAATACTGTTGTCATATTTGGGCTGGTTCTTCTAACGATTCACTTTCTCTTCTTGACAAGGTCCAAAATCGCATTGTAAATGTTGTTGGACCTGGACTATCTGCTAAGCTTGAACTTCTTTCCCATCGTCGTAAAGTTGCATCTCTTTCTCTTTTCTACAAATACTATCATGGTCACTGCTCAAAGGAGTTATCATCTCTAGTTCCATCAACTAAAATTCATTCTCGTTTGCATGCAGGGACACATTCTGTATGTGTCCCTGCATGCTCTAAAAACTTTTATTCATCTAGTTTTTTTCCCTGCACTTCAATCCTTTGGAACTCTCTCCCATCTTCATGTTTTCCTGACTCATACAACCTTCAACTTTTCAAGTCTTCTGTCAACCGTTTCCTTGCTCTATAACTCTGTTCTTTTTTTTCCTAGTAACTCCCAACTTAATAGTGGTTGCTTGCAGCCTTGTTGGGAGTGAATGCAAATAAAAAAAAAAAAAAAAAAATAGATCCTAAACAGCACTTGGAATAGACCCTGCACTGTGATGCTTATGTTACTTATGCTACTTATACATTATTTTTAGCTGTGATTGAGAATCTTGCAGAATTTCATCCTGATGTTTGTATTACAGCTGGTCAGCAAGGTTTACTTACATGGCTTTTAAAGCGACTAAAGGTATTTTTAAATAACTAACCTAGTTTGTTTTTATTTGTTTTAAAGTGCATCCTTAAATGTCTTTGTTTTAAGAAATATATGGAAATTTTTATTTTATCTAGAGAAAAGTTTTTGACAACATGTTGTAAGCTAGTGAAATAATTATCTTTTGTACCTTTTATTTTATTTAGAGAAAAGTTTTTGACAACAACAAGTTGTACGCTAGTGAAATAATTGCAATTATGTTGCAAAATCATGAAGGTGATTTTGAATTTTTATGTTTTCTTTAATTCTATTGTTATTTTATGTTATTATTTTCAGCATATTTTTAGAGAACCGTCAGCTTTTGGGTGAATCTAATGGTGTGGACAGCCTTTTACAAGCTCTTGCAGTATACTTTTTTATTTTCTTTATTATATGTGATTAATTTTTTTAATGCGTTTGCATTTATATCGCATGAATTAGATCAGGTAAATGTAAATTACATATATAGTAATTTACACTAACCTGATCCAAATTATTGTCCACAATACACTCTATATGCAATTAAAAATGTTTTTAGGCTTATAAAGGTCATAATCCTAATAACCAAGAAGAAACTGAATATATGGAGAATTTATTTAGTTGCTTGTGCTCGTCTTTACTATTCCCACCTAACAAAGATTTATTCTTAAAAGGAGAAGGTCTTCAACTTATGATCCTTATGCTTAGGTATATAAATGAATAATTTTCTGATTAGTTGTTTTATATATTTTTTATTAGTCACTAGTTTTTTTTCTGTAGTGTTTTATTTGATATTCGGAAAATTGCTGTTTTTTAATGTATTATTGTTTTTTAAGAGAAAAAAAAATGAGTAGAACAAGTGCTCTAAAAGTACTGGCCTACACAATGACTGGTGAAAATGGTGGAGAAAATTGTAACAAGTTTGTTGATATATTAGGCTTAAGATGTGTTTTTCCTCTATTTATGAAGGTGAGATATTTTGTTGTTGGTAATGGCTCTTACTTAGGCTATCCAATAGTTTTATAAAATATTTAGATGTGTCAGATCATGCTTTGCTTTCAAGTTTTTTAGTAATAGTGTGACAGTATATTTTCCTTGCATGAAAAGAATTGAATATTGCACTATAATTGAAATCTTTTTTTTAGAAGTTGCAAGTATAAAATAAAGTATAGTTATTGAAAATGTAATTAAAAAAGTATTCTACACACATTCACTAAGTTAGTAGTTAAAACTTTATTAATTTTCATAACTATAAAAAAAACTAACATCTTATAAAAAATATATATATAAAGTTTGTTTTTTGACTGTTTTTAAATATATTTTTTCTTGTGTTAACACAAGGAAAAATATAAACAATAGATTTCTTTTTTCAATAGGTTTCTAATAAATTAAGATGTTTTCTCATATACTGTAGTGTATATAATATGATTCAAAATTTAAATTTTTAAAATATTAACTAACATGCTTGGATTCTAATTTATTTTGGTATGGAGAATTCTGTTGGTTTTTCAAAATATTATATAACACTTAGCATTAGAGGAACAGGATTTAAAGTTACTGTTTACTCCTTTTTAATTAAAATCTTTTTTTTTAATTAAGGTTTAATTTAAAAGTATTTAAAAAAAATAGAATTAAAATAATTTAGAAAAATGTATTAAAATTTTATAAAGCATGTATAACAAAGTTATCATGAACAACCCATTGCTCTTTTAAAGCTTCTAAAACAAGAATGTATAAAGACAACTGGTGTTTCTCTCGTTGTCATTATTTGATAATTATTAGATTATTTGGTATTATAAGATCAAGATATATTATATTACTTTTTATTCATGTATGTGCATATATATGCATTATATATATGCACATACATGAATAAATAAATACATGCTCTGGTGAGTTTAACATTTTTTTAAAGTATTATCAAAATGACTAGAATTTTCTCATAGCTCTCAATAAGAAATATAAGGTTGGAAACAAGGTTGCTAACATTAAAATCATTATCAGTAGAACCATGTTCATTTCCAGCCCTAATCACCAATATTATGTTTTTGACAAATAACCCCTGTACTCAGTTGGCTGATCAAAGTACATGGGTTACACCAAATGCACATATATGAATATAAAGTAAGCTTATTATTACCAAATAATCTAATAATTACCAAATAATGACAGAGCATCAGATGTCAATATATACATGCTTGTTTTATAAGCTTTGAAAGTGGGAAGGGTTGTTGATGATAATTTTATCTGTTATACACACTTTATAAAATTTTAATACATTTAATACTTTCAAAAAGTTTTTAAATAAAAAAATAAATTTAAGCTTTTTTCTCATAACATTTTGCTTTTTCACTCAAATTTTTGTTTTATATAAATAGTTATTTTAATTGTTCCTCAAATTTCATAGAATATTTAAAAAAAAAAACTCTTTCAATGATAAATTACTTAGGTTTTTTTTTTTTTTATGAACTAGTATTTTGCTGGTTCAGAGATTGCTACAAACACAATCAGGTAATGTTAGAAATTCAGTTTGAAAGATTTTTAAAAAATCTCATTGGTACTCTGTTTAGTGTTAATTATTTTCTGGTTTCCTTAGCAATTACTAACTTTCCTTAGCAATTACTAATTTTTCTTTTTTGCTTACATTAATAACCTAAAAGATAGAAAATGGTGAGATATTAGCAACAAGTATGAAATTAAATCTGTAATAAATATAATCATTATAAGCAGGTAAATATGTCGAAAAAAGTATTATACTAATTAAGTAAATAATTTGTCAAAAAAAATTTTACTAGCATTCTTGAAGATTATTGAACTCCACTTGTTTTATAAATTAAAGTTTTTATAAATACTTATAAATTAAATAAATGGGGTGTAAATACATCAATGAAAGGAATTGCTAAAACATATTATTTGATTTTAAAGCCACCAAAAAGAAACAAGAAAACTGGCAATAGCAAAGAAGAGTGTGAAGGTATATTCTTATAAATATATGCTTTTTTTATTATTATTATCATTAAATAGAGTAACTAAGATAAAATTATAGTTACCATATGCACGTAAAATCTACCTGTTTTAAATATATAATTTTTTTTTTTTTGTTCAAACTCATCATTTTCAAAATTTAAAACATTTCTTTACGAATTAACTATAGTTATTAGTTAAACTTTTAAACTTATAAAGCACCATTATGTTGTATGCTGGTTATTATTAATTAGTATTTTTGTTTAATATTTATTAAATAAATTACATATATATTTTTTACAGAGCATACTTGTAGCATTATTGCTTCATTATTCAGACATTTGACTGGTTCTAATCGATCTCGCTTAGTTCAAAAGTTTGTTGAAGAAGACCATATCAAAGTATTTAAATTTTTTCATAAACTTTGTTTTAAATGGTTTATTTTCTTTGACCAAAAGTTGTTGATTGACCTAGTTGGACCGTCTCATGGAACTTTATTTCAAATATCAACGTAGAGTCCAGGATGCAGATGCAAGAATTGAACGTGAAAAAGATGTGAATATATTTAATTTTTGTTAATAATTATTTTAAGTTTAAAAACAAAAAAAATTGTATTAAATTATTAAAAATATTACTTTGTTTGAAATCAGGAAAAGAAAACTATTTTCAAAATGTTTTTGAAATTTTTTTTAAGGACTTAGAAGAACAAGGTGAGCTAATAGATGAAGCAATGGAAGATATGTTTTATTTAAAAAGGCTTGATGCAGGACTTTTTATTTTGCAATTGATTGTGTGCATAATGCTAGAAGCATGTTGCTCTGGTGTTGCCTCGGTAAGCTAACAAATTCTTACTCAAAGTATAAATCATAGATAAAGCTGTCATTAATTTATTTTTTGATTTGTTTTTGATTATTTAATTTATATTTGATCTTTTGTTGTTATATTTTGTTATTATGTTGTTATATACTATATTTTGTATTGTTTTAATATTAGATAAAGCAAAGAGTCATAACCTTAATGAGTCAACATGGAGGTTCAATGAAGCAAATTAAGCAAGTCATGAGAGGTAATTTTTTGTTTTTATATCAATATTTAAAATTTTGTAAGAAGAAAAAACTTTATATCAAATTCTATTAATTTTTCAATTATTTATCAATTTTCAAATCATTATTAATCAGTTATTAAACAACTTTTCATTTTATTAATCCTTGTTAAACTAATTAAACTAATTTGAAGTGTATTTCATTGTAATTTAGAATATGCTGGACACATTGGTGATACGAACACTAATGAAAGTGCTGAGATGGAAAGGAGGCGCTTGCTTTCTTTGGTTGATCGCTTTTAGTTTCTTTTAATAAAATGAAGCAATCTTTGTTTATACTGTTAAAACTTGATGTTTTTATTATATTCAGATAAAAATATCACAACTATGTAGAATTTATAGCAACTAAGTTATTGGATTTTTTATAATTTTTTCTTTTTTTGGTTGTGCTTAAAGTTTTAATAATTATACATAAGTGATTTAGTATTAACAGTTGTTGTTTTTTTAATATGTAGTTTGGCCATTTAAACTGTATTTTTATTACCTTTTAAACATTATATTATTTATTATTATCCTTTATATATTAATTTGGATTTTTTAAATATTATCTGCAAACTTCAAGACTACTTTGTTAGTATGGCAACTGTTATGCTCTCTGAAGAAGAGAAGTATTTTATTGTGTCAGGGATAGAAGAAGATTTTCGAACAGATGGACGATCATGCAATGATTATAGAGCAATTACAGTGCAGACTGGAATTATATCGAATACCAGTGGATCTGCCCAAGTAAAATTAGTAAGAATTTTTTATCTTTATGTTTTAAGTAGGAAAAAAAAATTTAATATCGTTTGTAATATATTTATGTTTTGTTTATCATTTTTTATATTTCAGTTTTATTTCTTTAAAACTATCATAGATTTTTTTTAGAACTTCTGAAAATTAGGAAAGCGATGGTTTGAATAAACATAAAACAATTAATAATTAGTGCTTTGATTTTTTTTTTCCAGGCTGGTACAAATGTTTTGATTGGTGTGAAAGCAGAGATAAGTGAGCCACTTCCATCAAAGCCCAACTTAGGAAAAGTAGAATTTTTTGTGGATTGGTAATAAACACTTTTGAATTTTATTGCATGCATATATTTATATTCTTATTTTTTTTATTTTAACTCTTTTTTTTTAATAAATTTAACATTTTCTTATACATATAAAGCAAAATATTTGATCGTACACAACTATAAACAAAACTTAAACAAACAAAACAAACTTTCTTAAGACTTTTGACTAAAAAGATAAGAAACCTTTTTATTATCTGTAACTAAAAATATTCAACCTAGGATTTTGTGGCCCTTCATTTTTTTTATGTTTAAAGACATGACTATAAATTCTAATCTAGGTATTTTGTTTTGTAGTGTAAAAACAAAATTATTTTTTTTTTCCCATATATTTAAATTTTTTTTTAGCAAGTTAATTCAACCTTTTGTGAACAATATGTTGAAGATCAAATACATAAGAGAAAAACGGCAGATCCAAGATCTGCGGTTTTTCTCTTATGTATTTGATTCCAATCTCCATTAAATATATCTGATATCTGTTAACTAATTTTTTAAAATCTAAAATTTAAATTTCTAATCCAATATTTGATAAACACAAACAATATTGTAGTTTCACATTAAAAACAATAGTCTTTAATAACATTTAGTAAAATTAAATAAAATTTATATACACAACATATTCCCTAAATATATTCAATTTTGTCTCAATTATATAAATACAATTATTTACACATAACTATATCATAATGCTAATAGGTCATTTTTTATAAGCATGTCATGGGTAACTACTCATAATGAATTTTTTTAGAAACAAAGTTTTTCTATTTGACTTTTAATTAAACAATGCTTATATATTACAGATATTCATTAAACTTTTTTTTAAATTTGGTTTCCAATGAAAGTCAAGAGCTTTGCTTGTTAAAGTTTTTTGCTTTCTTTAATCATTTTTTGAAGTCAATTGTTTGTCAAAGTTAATAATGTTAAATAGTTTGTTTAAATAAGCCTTAAAAAAATTTTCTATCAACAAAAGATAAAAGTATAAATAGTTCTTTCAGTAAGTTGTATTCTTTCAAAAGTAAATCCTCTTATTTTAACCTATCTAGATAATTTAAATTAAAAGGCTTTAATTTTGAAGGGATAAACATGTGAACATTTTAATCGAATTTCTAATGAAAAAGCAGAATGTGAAATATGCATAACAAAGATTTCAAAAAGCAATGGCTATACTGGAGCAATGATAATCCACATTAAGTGATTTATGAAGTATTAAGTCAAGCCATGAAAATGAAGATAACGGTGAGCCAGTGATAAAAAAAAAAAAAACATTGTTTGATTTCATGGCCTGTTGTAACCAACAAGAATCTAAACTAGCTGTTGTCAGAATTTCAACAAGAGCAATTACAATAATTTAATCTAATTTTATACGAGAGTTGATAGTAAAATGTACCAAAAATCTGCTTAAAAATGAACTCGATGTTATGGGACTTATTCATAAAAGTTATAAAGAAAAAAGGCTCAACTAAGTGCAATTTTAATTAAAAAGCTGAAGATTAAGTATAACTCTAGTGGTGTTATACTTAATGTGTAGTGGACAATTATTTTGATAAAGCACTGTGTTAATATCAATTTTTAAACTGCTAAAGAAAAAGAACCTTTGGTTAATCTTTGGTTAGTGAAATTTTTTAGATCTTTCTCTGCCTCTTACTTTGTGAATCTAGTTAAAACTTATTTAGAAAACTTTTCTAAAACATTTCTTCTGAGAAATATAATCATGCTTCAACTTGTGATGGAGCTCATATGATGATTAAGTATTAGTGATGATAATAATAATGCATTGTTAAATAAAGATGATTTTGGTAGTGAGTAGATTGTTTTGAAGATAAAGATGGAGCTAACAATGTTGGTTCGTCAAAAGTTAAATTTAAAAATAAATTAAATATATTAGAACAATATCAAAAACATACATAAAATTGTCTTCATTTTTAAAAAATCAATTGTTAAAAAATCATATTTTGCAAGAGTAGACCTGGGCAGGATAGAGGACATTCTCTAGAGCTAAATATAAAAACCAATCAAAAATTTTTTTGGGAAAACAAAGTTGAAGTATGAACAGATACAAAATTGTCAGCAATCACAGAAATGCATATGTATATCTTCAATAGAGTTGGAAAAAAAAATGTTTTTTTTTTTGACCAAAAAGTGTTTTTTGCTATTTCTTTGGGTTTAAGTGTAGGTTTTTTTAGCTTTACAATTACCTATCTGGAACTTTTTGATTGATTGCCTAATCATTTTATAAATGTTCGAGAACGTACTAAATCTCTACTTGAGTTAAATAAAATGGATATGTTGGCAGAAGTAAATTTCATCTTTGTGTGATTTGGTTAATGCTCTCAAACCAATAAAATTAAAGTTAGAATCTCTTAGTAGATAATGCTCTGTCTTCAGCAGACGCAATAATCAAGTTTATGATGGATAAACTTTGTAAGTGACATCAAGTTTTCATTAATGTTTTACTTATTTTACTGTAACAGTGAAATAAGTAAAACATTAATGAAGACTTGAAAATAAAAATTGCTGAACACACAAGTAACAAATTGATGAATCTATTGAAATCATTAAATGATTTATTGCATATTCCATCAAAACATGAATTACATTTGGCAAATGAAATAATGCAATAGATTATTATAATAATTTTAACAAAACAGAAATTAACAGTGAAATTGTTTCTGTTGAAGAAAAAATAATGACTATGAAAAAAGAATTGGAAAAGTTATACAAAACTCAGTATCAAATGAATCGAAAAATCAAGGATGATAACCAATTCCATATTAATATAAAACAAGAATTTACATTATTTTGCAATAGTAGTAAGCGAATTAAAAATTTGGAAAATTTGATGTTATTTGTTTAATGAAACCAACATCTACTGATTCTGAGCAAATATTTTCAGTATAAGCTAATTTCTGCACCGAAATCAGATTGCAGTTATTTGATAAATCATTGAATGCATTAGTAATTCTAAAATCATTTTATTTTAAATTGAATAAAGATTTATAAAAATGAAATTAAAACATTTTTTACTGTTTTTATCATATTAAAAATTTTGCTGATCGGTTATCTGATATCCTGCAGTTTTCAAAAATCCAAAAACTGAATTCATGCTAATAAATTTTTGAGAGACAAAAACATCTATATAATTAGTGCATTTTAGTGTATTCACAACATTTTAGTGTATTCACAACCCCTTTATTTTTTTTTTTCTTTCGGACTTTTGACAAATTGCAACCATGCTTTTAAATGCTTTGTATCTAGGAAGGTATTTTAATTGCGAAAATATTTTTAAAATATTTTTGCAATTAAAAATAGGATTCTAAAGTGTATCCTTTGGATTAAAGCTCTAAACTTCAAATCTTGTACATTTCTCTGTTATTTTTTACTATTCTTCAACATCAGTGTTCACAATATGTGTTCTTTCTGTACTTATAAATAAAGCATCTTGTCAGAGTTTTTATTTAAAACTTTCCCAAACCACACTCTGCCATTTTTTACTAATCTAAAAAGAGTATAAAGCGAACTTAAACATTTTAATTTAAAAAAATCTTTCATTTGTGACTTTTTACTAAGTTTATTATGATTTTCAGTACAAAAATGATCAAAGTCTAAATTAGAATTTCAAGTCCTAATCTTATAACGATATTTCTTTTCAACTATATTTACATACATCAAACTTCCAAAAAAAGCAATGCTGCGCAGACTTGGACAGGATTTCACACTTATATCTATTTTTGGAGTTGTGTTAAAGTTATTTTTGGAGTTCTACTTTTGGAGTTCTATCACTGGAGTTCTATTATTGGAGTTCTATTTGGAAAATAGAAATGTTGTTTAAGTTTTACTCAAAAAAATCAAAGTGAAAAGTAACAAATTATTTTTAATGATGGTTAAGTTATAAATTAAATAATTTATTTGAATTATAAAATATACACATGTTTTTTTAATTTATATTAGTATGTATTTTTTAATAAATTGTTTATTTAATATAATTTAAATAGATTGTAATAATTTGTAAATAGATATATATATTTTATTTAAATATATTTAAAAATTATATATATATATATATAATTTTTAAATATATATATACATATATATATATATATATATATATATATATATATATATATATATATATATATATATATATATATATATATATATACACACACACACTATTTGGTATGTATAGATGATTTTCAATTTTATGTTTGGAATAATTCTTATTTTAAATTTAATTTTTTTTATAGCTCAGCAAATGCGTCACCTATTTTTGAAGGAAGAGGAGGTGATGAGTTGGCTTTTGAGTTAAGTGCTGCTTTGCAAAACACTTTTTCTGGTGCAATAGATTTGGAAAAGTTATGTATTATACCAGGAAAAGCATGCTGGATACTATATATTGATGCTTTGGTAATAAATTGTATTGAATTGAAGTAAATATGTTTTAATTGTTAAAATTTGTTTATTTAATTTTTATAGTGTTGAAATGTTGTGGTGATCTGTTTGATGCACTTTCTGTTGCTACAAAGTTTTAAATGTTAAAATTAGTTTGTTAAATTTTCAAGGTGTTGGAATGTGGTGGTAATCTGTTTGATGCACTTTCTATTGCTGTCAAAGCTGCTCTACATAACACAAGGTGTGTAAAGAATTTTTTATTTTCTTAAATTGTTTTTTTAATAATTGAATCTTTTTTTATATTATTTTCTGATGATGCTCAAAAAGATATGATATATATGAAGTCTGTAAATTAACAGGTATCAATTCTTAAATGACGATTTTCTTCTCAAGGATACCAACATTGTCAATTATTGGTGAAGGTGCAGAGAAAAGTATAGAAGTGTCAGACGATCCCTACAATTCAACTCCAATTGATGTTTCAAATATACCTATACTTGTAACTTTAAATAAAGTAAGTTAATAAAAAATTTCAATCTTATACTTTTTAAAAACTCTATAGTTTTGTTTATAGTAAAACTCTATAGTAAAGCTCTACATAATTTTAAATGGGTAAAGCCACTGCTTGTGTTTACATTTGTTCTAGCTGTTCTCTAGGGGTAAAGGAAAAAACGAATTATATATTTTAGGTAGGAGAAAGGTACATTGTTGATGCTACTGCTGAAGAAGAAATATGTAGTGATGCTCAGTTATTAGTTTCAATAAACCAGAAAGGAAATGTTTGCAGTGTACAAAAGCACGGTAGCGGAGGAATTAATCCAGATCTTTTATTTGAAATGCTTAAAGTAAGATACTCAAAAAATATTTTCATTTTTTCGTTTTCAGCAAAGGAATTAACCCAGATTTTTTATTTGAAATGTCTAACAAAAGCTACTCAAAAATATTTTCATTTTTTCATTTCATTTTTTCTCATGTAAGCCTGATTTGGTGTTTTGTTTTGCTTGTCTATACCTTAGTATGCCTAATTTATAAATTGTTTAGATTGTTTAATCATGGTAATGAAAAGTGAAGCTAAATCATAATATGAATATAATTACAAATTTTCATTTATATTATACAAATATTCATTTATATTCATTATATTATATTATAGCCGGCAAAACCTAAAGTATAAATTATATTATATTTTTTCAAATATTAGTTCAATATTTAAACAAAAATAATATTATTTAAGATAATCATTATCTTTAAATAGTTTTAATTGACCGCAAAATATTCAAGTTCCATTAGCAAACTAATGTTGAAAAATATTCATTATTTTTTTTTAATACTGCAGTTATATTTTTGCATACATCCTATTTTAAAAAGTAAAAGAAGCTTATGGTACATATTTTATAAATGTATGTAGACGTATAATTGATCATCAAAATGTCTTTTAAAAAAATATATCTCTTTTTTTTTTTATATATTTTACTGAACAGACTGAAAAGACTTCTTAAATTCTGTAAATTCTCTATTTTGTTGTTTGTGCATAAAGAGTAGTATATAAAGCAATATTAAAGATATGTTACAGCTGTTTTCATAAGTACTTGATGTATACTACTAGTATCAAGCAAAATATTTTGCCAGTTTTTGCCAGTCTGGACTGAGCAATGATTTTATTATGTGATAATCAGGTGGGGTTCCTGCATTTTTTGGTGTTTAAGAACTTCCAGGCGTGGAGAAACTCCAAATATTTACATATTTATATTTACATCAAATAAAGATGCTTTGAAAAGAATTGCGATGATTGGAGCCCGGAAACAAAAATTGTCCTTACTTATCGCCCCCCTACCCTAACCATGAGAGCAAAGCGTAAACAAAATATTTTTTTATTATTCTCAACTAAATTCATATTCATCGATAAATTTTAAATTTCGTGCAATAATCTGCTAGCGTTTAAAAATTATGGTTATACAAAGTTTAAATCCCCCTCAATTTGAGGGGGTTGCAGCTTTTAGATTGTCATAATTTTTGAACGCTAAGAGATTATTGCACGAAATTTGAATTTTATCAATGAATATAAATTTAGTTAAGAATAGTAAAAAAAAATAATTTTCAAACTCTCTGCCCTCACGTTGGGGTATGGGAGGGGCGACTTTTAAGGGCTTTTTTTGTTCCCGGGCTCTAATCACCAAAATTTTTTGCAAAGCATCTTTATTTGATGTAATTATAAACATATATTTATTTGGAGTTTATTCCATGCCTGGAAGTTAGCTATCCCAAATACCAAAAAATCGGAAATTTTTAAAATTTGCCAAAATATGCTATAAAAATCAAAGTTTTTTCAAAACTAACTTTTTTTTTTGAAAACTGTATTTTTCAATGTAATAAACTGTTTGTAATAAAAAAAAAAATTAGTTAAAATACTTTTTAGAGTTTTGGCTAAAAAATGGCACTTCTGACCCACTGTGCAGTGTTCTAAAAAAAAATGACAACATGATTTTTTTAAAAAAAGCAAAAAAAATTCAAGTTAAATTGCTTTTTGATTTTTTCAAATAATAACTTCTATTACCCATCATTTAAAATAATTAAAAAAAAGTAAAAACTGATGAACAAAATTGGTAAAAATCAGCTGTGAAATGGGAAAATTCAATTTTTTTAAACGAATGGGAAAATTGATTATGCTTTCAAATTTTCTACATCCTTGTTGTCAATAGCTGAAGTCTATGTGGACGCTTCTCATCTAAATTCAATTCTTTGTGCGCCTAAATCAAGGTTTCTTAAATGGGTTCCGTTTAAAAAACCTCGTTTGATTCCTTTCTTCATATATTTTTGTGTAAATTTAAAATTATTTTCATAGTTATGCACATTATGCACATGCGCTGTTTTTTTGAAAATTACTCCTTGTTCTCCCTATATAATCAAATAACAGTGGATTTAAAAAATTTTTTAATAAAAAATATTTTTTGATGTTAAATATTATAATAAAAAGTATTAGAATAATAGTTTAATAATAAATTTTGCTTATTTATAAAACTATAAAAAAATAAGTGAAATTTAATGTAATTAAATAAAATTATTTTCAATTTTGTATCATTTTTTAACATTTTGAAAAAAGTTTAGTGTTAGTAATATTTATTAGATAAATTTTTTTAAAATATTAAATTTAAAACTTGATGAAATATGATTTTTATTTTGGTATCTTTTAAAAAACTTCTGAGTACCAGGTTCACATACTTTTTAAAAAAATTTTTAGTAACATTAGGGACCCGTTAAATATTCAAGGGTTAGTTATTTAAATGTTTTCAAAAAAAAGTTATTTTTTAGCCCACCCTAATGCACATGCCCGTTTTTTAGGTTGGACGAAAAATCGGACGAATTTTGAACGAACAGCTTAATCTTGTCTTAGAGAAACAAACAGAAGAATATGTTTAAATCCTACAGTTACGTAATTGGTAGATATTTTTCGAAAATTGTAACAAGATCTGTATGGATAAGGTGTCGGTGGATCTTACAGAGTCTGTTAGAAATCAACGTTTAGAAGATTTTATTATTATTATTGCTTTGGGTAATAATAAATCTGTTATTTTTTATTTGAATCAAAAATTGGAAAATCTTTCAGACATTTAAAGCAAAACAACTTTATTACATAAAAATTATCCATTTTGTTTTGTAATACGACTTTTTATCAAAAGTTTTTATTTTTTCACTTTTTATCGAATATTATCGGTGTTTTATTATAGTAAATTTCAAATTAGCTTTTCTTATGCTAACTCGTGGCGCCTGCTTTATCTTATTACAATATTAAATCTGAGGTAAAAATTAATTTTATGAAATTTGTTTATTGTCGACCTTTTTTTGTTTTTAATATAATAAATTATTAGAATGATCATAAATAATAGAAAAATGATCATAAATAATAATAAATAATAAATAGAAGCTTTCGTGTACACAATGAGAATAGTAATAAGAACATAAGAAGAACACATTAAACAAAAAAGTTTTTATCTTATAAGGAACAAATTTTTCTATTAATTTTTAAACGGTTACAGGAGCTGTGAACTAATAAAGGTCGTTTACTAATATTTGTTATTTACAATATGGCTCCCTATTGATTTCGTGTTATTTTTGCTTGCTTTCAAAGAGAAACTCAAGAAAAAAGTTAAATATCACTCTGAAATTGTTTTTGGCATTTATTTATATAATTTCAGAACGCAGTGGAATAGAAGGTGGGTATTTTATCTTTATTCCCATTCCACAAGTCGAGAGATTAATGGAGTTCTCTTGAAACATTGGAAAGTGAGTGTTTGAAATATTTTTTAAGGTTTATTAAAATATGTTCGATATATTTGACTATACGATTAAGGCATTTAAAGACATAGTATTGGTTAGTAGGTTACGTATAATGGAGAAGTAGTTTCTGATTAGCTTTTAGCGATTGAGTTTATTTTAACTTTAGTTTTGCTAACTTTTAAGTTTGTAGAACATGTCAAAAATTAAAGTTAGTAAAACTAAATTTTAACGCTTTTTCAAAAAAATCATTTTTTTAGTTTGTTTTTATTAACATTATTGTTTATATTCTTATTGTCTTGTGAAATTTATTTTCTTTTTATTTAGTAAGCACAATTAAGAATAAATTTATTTTTATCAGTATACATTGCATATATACATGCGTTTATTGACTAAACTATTTTGGGATGGGTTCAGTTTGTGTATCTAGACAGATTTTTTAAGAACAGGCACAGCAGTATACATAAATCAAAGTTTATGTAGGGACAGACACAGTGAGTGTACGTTCTAGACTTTTTTCAATAGGCACAGCGGAGTGTGCGTAAATTAAATTGTTTTAGTAGGGATATACAAAGTGAATATACGCATTTAAACAGATTTTTTAGGATTAGGCACAGCGGAGTGTACATAAATCAGTTTGTTTTATTAGGGAATGACGCAGTGAGTGTTCATGTTACGCGTTTTAGTTTTAACCTTTTGATAAAATAAATTTCCTTTGAAAAAAAAATTTTCTCTTTATTTAAATCTTTCATAATTTTTAATATAAGCTTTTTTTATTATAAATTTTTACAAACAGTTGTATAAAGTAAAAAAGACTTCAAAAAAATTACTTTCTTTACCATATAAATCAGACAGGGGCTTAAAAGCAAGAACAATATTTATTTCGTTGCAACCTTTTCAAAGAAAAAAATTTTCTTATGCCTCAAATTTTTGTTCAACTTAAGCAAACCATTGCACAGTGGGCCTGGATTGTCTAAAAATGGCAAAACTATTTATGGGTTTAAAATAGACATGATACATGTTTATATAGGTTTTTGGGGCCACGGGTTTCATTTCATGGCTCCATTAGTTTCCATCAAGTTTAGAGTGGCCATGACCACACAAGCGGTTATTTTAGGGGTTGTCAAGGAGAGTTAAAGGTATCTCGATGGGTTTTAAACTAGATCGAGCATGTTGTTTATCTAAATATAGGTAACTTCTGTCAGGGAATTCATAACTTTTCAATAACAGTAACATTAAAAGTGTTATTTAAAAAAGATTTTAACAAGATTTAAATGATTAAAACCGTTCTTCTTCGTTTTTAAAGTTTTTAAGTTTAGTTTTTAAAGCAAAATCTACGATTGGATATCATTTATAATAAAAAGCCTAGCACCTACTGAGCTCAGAAAATTTGGTTGTAAATTTTTATCTATATATGAGAGTGTAATTTAAAGTAGATCACATGTGTGGCCTAGTGTTTTTCTGCTTGTGCAAAGGTAAGTGTTAAAAAAATGTTTCGCATTAAGGGGTTTTTTTAAAAAACAATTTGAAAAAAAACAAGCATAAAAAATAATTTTTCATATCTCTTCTTCTTATTTTAATATATAGTGTCAATGGGCTAATAAAATCCTTTCAAAAATATTTGTGGTAAAATTGATATATTCAGCTCAAAAATCACAGTAGGGAAAATATTATATCAGTTTTAGAGTGCTGGGGGTCTCTAGATGACATTTACAAAAAAAAATTACTCCATTATAAAAGTTGGTTGCTAAGGGTTTTACTCACCTCTGGCTCACTGTGCCTTGTATACAGATTAAATAATTTGGTTAAGTTCAATAACAGATATGGCCATGTGACGTTTACGTCCCACCTACCTTTTTAATCTTAAAATAAATTGTACGTGTTTTTCATTTTAAAATCAACCAATTTTCACATGTATTTTCAAAAATTTAAAACAAGTATTTGTATAGAAAAGAAGGTGTATCTTCATTTTAACGAGAGTGCAGAGAAAAAAATTAGTACAGAGACCCCTCTGTAATCTCGTTAAAATGTTAATTTCTTATTTCTGCTATATAGAGCACTTTGTTAAAAACTTAATGTGTAAAAACGTATTTGTATGGAACTCAGTTTAATGTAGTTTAATGTTTTGTTGGGAACTCAGTTTAAATTTTTCCAAATACGTTTGTAAAACAGGTGGAAATATAAGTTATTTTGCCCATTTGTGATCAAACAACTATACAGAAACTATGATTTGGGTTTAAAAAATATATATATTTTAAATTAATAATTCCATTCACTCAAGAAACTAAATACTTATTAAGTTGGTACCAACATTTTTTGATTAGTTGCAACCATGTCGGTGAAACTGACATTTTTAACAAAATTTAAAAACAATCATTTGGTGAACTTTAAAAGCAATCAAAAAAATCCTAGAAATTGCACAATACTATTTTTAAATATAAAATATTACTTTTTATTTAAACATAAAATATTTAATTTCCTATTTGCTTGTTTTTAAGTACCTAAAATTATTGAACACTTTTCACAACTTATAGATATAACGTTTTGCTATCAATCTGGCTGCAGTGGTCGTTAAGATGAGATCTGTATACAATGGTTTGTATTAGCAACAACAAACCACCCAAATCAAAGTGCAAAAAAACGCGTAAGTGCTTAATGTTACAAAACATTTAACTTCAGTTAAAACCATCGGCACACAAAATTTCGACATTTAGCAATTTATTTTGGAGTTTTTTACTTTTTAAAAAGTCACTTTTAAAAGAAAATTAAATAGTTATTATAAGTTATTATAATTTTTGTTTTATTAATCGCCCACTGTAATTAATTTGTGCTAATGTGAAAGTTTGACGAGCTGAACTACGTATTGCGTATGCGTTTATTTAAATGGTATATTTTGTTTCATAAAACCTAAATTTCAAAATAAAAATAGTTGTTACAGTTGTTTAAGTTCTCTAAAACGCGTTTAAACGCGTACTTGCGCTCTATTAAATGTTTTATTGATTAGGAGATTAGGTAGAGTTTTTATGTCTTTATTGGATTAAAAAAGATTGAAGTCTTCTGCAAACAATATTACATTTATATACAATAAAAATAATAATGGATCTTAGATTGAACCTTGGGGATTACCACATGAAATGTGGTTAATTTTTTTCATAAATAATGCATTGTGACCAGAGGTGACGACTTTTTTTAGTAGACAGTATTCTACGAATACCGCCTACTGAAAAAAAAAAGAAAAAAAGGTCTTTTAAAACTAAAATTCACCCAACTGTAATGTGTCAAATACCCGACTAACCCTCAAAAAACCGACTCTAACTTCAAAATCACCTTCTTTGAACCCCCCCCCCCCCCCTACTCTCTTACATCTTTCTACACACACCTTCCCCCAGTAAATTCGCCTCAGATTGTGACCTGTTTGCCAGGTAACCTTTAAACCAAAGTAGGTTCTATTTTTTACTCCATAGAATTTTAGTTTTTTTATAGGTATCTTATGGTTAACAGTGTCTAAGGCTTTTGACAGATCAATAAAAATTCCTAAAGTAAAATAGTCATTATCTGATACATGATTAATCAGTTTGACCACAACATGGTTAGTTGATTAATTTTTCTTAAAATCAAATTGTTTATTGTACAGTATATTGTTTAACATGAAGTAGTTAACATTAAAGTCTGTTGTACATAATACGTTCCAGTAATTTTGAGAAGCAAGGGAAGACGGAGATAGGTCTGTAATTTGAAACACTTGTTTCGTCGCCAGATTTACAACTTGGGATGGATATGGCAACTTTAAGTTTATTTTTGACCTTTCATTAAAACACCTAGTTTTAATGAAAGGTCAAAAATATGAAAAAATGACGGTTCAATGATGTCGAAAATTGACTTATGGTGGATAACCACATTCACGTTAATTTTGTCAATTTGTTTAATAATATTCGTTTTTGTAGTGTCGCTAATGGTTTTTTTCAAAAACTTTGCATAATACATTTTTTAGAGTGTTTTTTTGTTTTTTTTAAACAAGTTTTTTAGTTTAATTTTATTTTTATATGTTTGGTATTGTGGTTTATCTTCCTCCGGCTAATTGCCATATAGAGCTAATTGCCACATACCGGCTAATTGCAACATACCAAGGCCTGCGCAGCCAAGTTCAGCTCACTAAAGAGCATCATTGGATTGTATAATAATAGGCACTTTACACAATTTTACTATTATCATTATCTTTGGCATATTATCATTATCTCTAGCTATAATTAATACCAAAGTATGCGGGTAATAAAGGCGTTTTCAGAATGAGTTCGTTTTTTAATTTGGATAACTGATTCCCAAGTTATTATAATTTATGTTGGGCTTATTTTAGAAACTGCAATCAATCAAATCCAATTCCTAAAGCTGCACTATTATATGAAAAATCAATTAATTTCTTTTCTTCTTATTCATCTAAAATAATTGGATGTCCAGGTTTGGCTCCCATTTTCGTTAGGGGAGACCGGGGTTGGTTGCAACAAAATTTTAAAAACGTAATTTATACCCTTCAAATATATATTTTTTCGATTTTATTTTTCAGGGTTATAAAAAAGATTTTAGTTACGTATTAATCCAACATTGATAAATAAAATATCAAATTTAGTTATTCCGCAATAGTGAAACAAAAATATGTTTACCCCGCACCGGGGCGAATTGTAACAGTGCACAGGGCAAGTTGCAACACAATACTTTTAAAGTATAAGCTTTGCAGAGTTCACATAAAAATTACTAGTTAATCTGTAATTTCTATTTGGCAACAAAACATAATTAAAATAAAAGAAAAGTAGTATTTTAGACTTGACATGTACCTGACATGTTTAGTAATGCTTATATTATATAATTATGCTTAATACCTGACATGTAACTAATGCTTACATTCAAAGACTTTAAAAACTGAAGAAAGAAAATAATGAGGATTATTATTTAAGCTCATATATTATTTAAACTTTTGAGTTTTTTTTTTAAAAAAGTATTCCTTTAGTTATTCAGTAAACATTAAATCAATTTATAAAAATGCAAGAGTAGTTTTATAAATAATATAAAACACAACTTTCATAAAAATAAACAATAATCTAACTTTGATAACAAAAAAAAAATTTCCAAGCAATAAACGCTCATAAAAAAACAAACTAGCATTAAAGAAACTAAAGAGTTTCATTACATTTCAAGTCAACAATTTTTTTATTGTTTTTTTTTTTTGATGCAGAAGTACTAGCAGATTTTTGCTTTCTAGAACTAATTTCTTTTTCAGCCATAAGACACTGTTTTAGTGGTGTATCTGTGAGTATTTCTGTATGCTTTCTCTTTGATCTAGTGACTATTTCTTTCCTGGGTCGTGCTTTTGGTAGCGGTCTTACAACCTCAGGGGAAAATTTTGAAATCGGAGATGGAATTGCAACTGAGGTTGAAGTTGATATACTAACATCAATAGCTGCATTAGATTGGGTTGCTGGACAATCCGTAACAAATGATGGAGCAAAATCTGCGTCTGAAAATATATTCTTATTATATGGCAATATTCCTGCCACTCTAAAACCAGAAGATATATTTTGTTGTGTAAGAGAATGTTGTAATGCTATTTTTGCAATTCCTGGTAAATCATATATACTCATTATTTTCCCTGGACTACTTTTTATCCATGAGTCTTGTGCATTAGCTAAGCATTTTTTAAATGGTCCGAATACAGATCTATCTAGAGGTTGCAACTTATGCGAGCAATGAGGAGGGACAGAAAGCAAAACTATACCATTATCTTTACACAATGTTATTAATTGAATAGATAAATGAGATTGATGATTGTCTAAAAGTAATAACACAGGGCTTTCTTTTGATGGCTTTACATGTCGAATAAAGTGGTTTATGTAACAAAGTAACAAAGCACTTCTTATTCATCCAGCCTGATCCATTCAAAGCACCAATGCAATTATTTGGCCCATCACAAATAAAGTGATTAAAGAATTTCTTTCTTGGAAAAAGAAACATTGGAGGCACACTATTGCCATATGCATATACGGCTATTACCATTGTCACTAATGTCCCTCGCTATTGAGAAGTTAATGCACCCACTTGCTTAATACCTTTACGAGCAATTATTTTGTTTGGTTTTTGCACGGTGATGATACCAGTCTCATCAACATTAAAGGTATTTGATGCAGAAAAATGATGTCTATCTAAAACATCTGATAATTTTTGAAAAAAAACACCTACATTAGCACGATTAAAGCTAGTTGCTCTATATTGTATATTATACAATATAT